GAGCTGGTCGTATCTCAAAAAATTTTGTAAGGAGGGGCGTTCGTAACTTGAGGTACCACTGTAATTGAACAATTTGTTGGAGGAAAAAAAATGGAAAGTGTGAATGAAGTGAACTGAGTGCATAAAACAGAAAAGCCTGCCTTATACCAAGACGTGCTATTGATTCTTCTAGCTAGTATTGACCAGCAATGACTGTTCCACTCCTGCTTGTAAATGCTAGGACTTGATAAGGGGCCTTCTGTAAGCCAAACATACACAGTCTTTACTGACCCATATCCTCAGATAGATTGTGCTATGTGACATTCCAAATGGGCTTGCTATCACTGAAACAAAGCCAAGCACACATTAAATTTGCATTTAAAATAAATAGCCTTTAATTCAATCCTGGGTATCCTTAAAGTATGGAAGTTGGAATACAGTTATGGAACCTTCCCTATACAAGGAAATCCCCAATAACTGGGTAAAATTCCTACGTGTAATGTGACAATATGCCATTATAATTGAATCAATGAGTAGGATGTGAAAAAGGGGAATGGATAGATAAAATCAAATTTGTCATCCAAATACAACATGTAAGAATATAATAAATTACTTCTAAAAGTAAGTGTAAATAAAATATGATGGATATAAAAAATCCCCACCCAAAAGAACATAACAAGAAAACAGTCAATGTCTAATTAAGGATGTGGGTGGCAAAATTTTGTATGTATGTATGTATGTATGTATGTATTTATTTATTTATTTATATTTCAGATTTGTCACTGCCCATCTCACTGTGAAGTGACTCTGGGTGACTTACAGTAAAAATAGAATAAACATTAATTAAAATGTTTTTAAAATAAAAAAAATTAATTAAAACATAAATTAAAATAAAATAAAATAAAAATTGATAGGAAATCAGTGAAAATACATTTTGAATTCCTTTGCAAAATAGTTATAGAAGTTCCTTTAAGATACTTTTTTATTCAGGGATCTATCTTCAGCAGGTTGCATGGATATATTATACGTGTACTGCTTTAGCAATTATAGTGTAATTATCATAAATAGACTGACTAGTAATGGTTCTGACTAATCACTAATTTTCTTTATGCTTAGGATTCTTAAACCCCCTTGAAATGATTACTGGGGACCAGAGTATTCCATGAGTAAATCACACAGCAGATGAGTTTCATGAGCTATTTGCTTCAAAGTATGGGGTGGCTAATGCACCTACACAGAAAAAACCATGAGACAAAACTTTTTGCTACCAAAGACCTCCATGGCCCTCCACCTACAACATAAATCCTTAATCCCCTAGCTATACCCCAGGGACCACAATGGCCAGTGAGTTCTCTTTCTCTCTCTCTTTTTAGTAAAGTCCTGGTTATTTTATTCAGAGAAATGCATAACAAAATCATTACAAACTGAGGTTCCATAAAAATATGCATTTGTATCTATTTCAATGTAACAGAATTAACAAAATGTAATAAAAACATCCCTTAAAATTAAACTTAATTCATTGTCCTAATAAAATTAATGAAATGTTTTAAATTGTCTGAAGAGTTTCACCTTACACTGAAAACATAAAACACACTGTGTTAAAGTGGTATTTACAATAGCAGCATTCTATTCATTACATTTTAAAAAGTAAATACATATGTACCTTTTTCTTGCTTAGCTATAATTACACTGTCTTTCAAATGACTTGTAAAATTCCCCAATATGGTTTTCCACCAAGTTTTTTAAATCACTTTTTAAAAATTAAAGCAACACCAAAGGAAAGATAAAGGAACAGAGTACATATTTTTTACATGAGAGGGAAGATTGAGGGGTCTTCAGGCGTTGCAGAGGGAGTGCCACTAAGTCACACTTCCAACTGTCACACATTATGTAATTTGTGTCAGGGGCACAGTACAGAATTTGCATCCTTTGCGTGATACCACGACGCAGATGGCTTCGTTTGCGTCCCGTTTCCCGCCGCGGGCGGCCGCATCCAAGGTAGAAAACCGAGTTCAGAAGGGCATGGTTCAGTTAACGACGCCCACCCCCACCCCCCCCAGTCCCCCTACTACAAATATGAGGCTACTTCCAGGAATGTGCAAATGGTCTTCTCTCCGTTAAGTGGGCTGCCAGTTTCTGCTTCAGAGCCAAGACAGAGATCGGCAATGGACGGCGGTTTCTCGTCCACATCGGTCACCGCCAACTCAAGGATGGGTGGAAACACTCTGGCTCCGAACGGAAGGGACAGGCCCGTCGAAGTCTCGCCCCGCATAAAACCCCGTGAAGGAAGTGGAGGAACGCCCAGCTCTTGTGCAGGCGAGGATCAAGCCCTCTGCCATCTCAATCCTCCCGCCCATCTCCATTTTCCAGAACGAAAACGGTAACAGACAGAACGCGGCCGTCCAAGGCTGCTTAGCTCGGAAGGTTTGGAAAGCCGGGGGTCTGTTTTCAACGCCAAGTCGACGGCTCCGGCTTTTTTGCGGGCGAATTCATCCTTCCCTGCGGGAGCGGCTAAACCAAGCCTTCTGACGGCTAATCCGGTCTCCTCCCCGCGTTTCCGACTTGCACCGGCAACCGCGCCCCGCAAAGCTGCTCTCCTCGTGGCGGCGCTGCGAGCCAGATCGGCGGCGCCGAGGAAAAGCGACCTCACGTCACCCCCTCTGCCGGCAACGCCGCAGAAAAGTAGATCGGTCGGACTCGGGTTCTCGGTTACATAAACTCCCGGAAAAGGAGGAGGAGGAGGAGGAGGAGGGTCTCGCGCGCCGGCCCGCCTCCTCCGACTGGCGGCGCGGTCATGGCGCGGATTCTGATCGTAGGCGCGGGGCTGACAGGCAGCCTGTGCGCTGCGCTTTTGCGCGCGGAGTTTCCCCAGCGCCTCCTGCGCGTCGTGGTCTGGGACAAGGCTCAGGGCGCAGGTGAGTTGGGCGCCTGGAAGCCGCAGATCCTACGGTTTGAAAGGGCAGGCGGCCAGCTGCGGGCTCTGGGAAGGCTGGCGGCCAGCGGCGCCTGGGATAAACAGCAACAACGCCTCCCATCCGCGTCTGGGCGCAATTCATCTCGCTCCGAATGGATTTTGCTGTGATCGATGGGGCTTATCTTAGGAAACAGGATTGTTCTCAAAGGAAACGTGATCCTACCCCTGGCTAAGAAATTCTTCCAAGCGCTCAGTTGCAGAACGAATTCCCTTTTTTGCACGAGACTCGTTTCTGAGTCGGGCTGCAAAGAGCGAGCTTTACCCGTGCAGCGCAAGGGAATCTCGAGGCGAAGGTCCCGAGATTAGGGTCGGATTCCAGTGGGGGCAGCCTTGTTAATCTGTTGCGAGAGGCGAATGAATTTTTGTAGCAAGGACACACACTCTCAGGCGTTGCAGTCTTAGGGCGGTTCATATTGTCGTCCCTAACCTGGGAGCTCTAGGCAGCCCCCCGAGGTACGCTTCCCTGCAAAAGCAAATCTCCTTAGTTTCGGTGAGGTTCATGCTTTGATTTGCAGCCGACGGCACTGCTCCAAAGCGAGCTCAGCGACCATGCGCCCCGCTGCTCCGGAGGGATCGGTGGGGTGCGGGGGGTCCCTGTTACTAGGCGCTCCGGCTCGGCTTTGCCTCTCCGGAGAAGCTGATTGGGCACCCGCGGCAGCGCGCGCGCGCTAAACATCTTTCTGTCTCCACGCACGTGACTTGCAAGGGGGAAGAATGACGACGAGCCGTAGCGCTCACGACCCGAAATGCACGGCTGATCTGGGTGCCCAATACATCACGCGAATGCCTGACATTGCAAAAGAGCATCAGAGGTGAGCGAGAGAGGAGGGCAAAGGATGGGAGCCTTTGGCTTTGAGGATGTGTCAGTAATGAAGGGGCTGATGCTGTTGTAGCGAGAGATGGCAGTTCATACTTGGGAATCAGCTGCTGGAATGATGTTCAAATTGTATTGAGTGGAAAAGGGCGGCCCCTAGCTGATTTTGACAAAGCTGAGCAGGGTTGCACTGTGGATGGGAGACCACTAGGAAACCACAGGGCCATAGACCAGATTGAAAAATGGGGGAAAACAGCAGAAGAAAGCAACAGGAGTGGCAGGCTACTTTCATAGTTCTTGCTGCCAAGAAAAATACATGGATTTGCCTACAGAGGCAGCAGGTGCTGGGCTTAACTTGAAAGTTGATGGTACATAATCAGTCTATCAATCAGCATCCTAATGCAATGTTTTCTTCAAGTTTCACTGCAGGAATGATAAAAATAACTGTGTGCATGCACTTGGATTCAGTTGAGGTTGCATGAGTGAGGACATACTGAAAGGTCTTGCAATTCAGCAGTTCGCTTCAGTTTTTGTCACAAGTTCATTGTGATGTACAAACACAGTAAAATGCTTTGGGGCAGAAGTTGTAAATTTCAGCTGGCTGGGGGCTCTCAAGCCTAATATTTTGTTTCCAACAAAGAGCTGTGTTAGGTTTGCAGCACGATCTATTATACAGGTAGTCCTCATTTAGTGACTGCTCTGGACTGCAACTGTTCACAGTTATGACAGTGATAGGAAAGTAACTTTGCAACCAAACCCACATTTATGACCTTTGCAGTGTCTCTCTCTCTCAGTCAAGTGTTCACCATTACAGATAATTATTATGAATTGTCCTGTGTCTGACCTTTTTTTTTTCCTACCTCCCCCCAAGAATGCCTAAACATGCAATCTCTTCCTGACTGCTTTTTTCCACAGTGCAGCAGGATCCTAAAAAGTGGTAAGGCCAGTTAACAAGCTCAGCCCTGTGACCTTAATTAGTTGATTAGAACCCTCAGGCTGTGGAGCTGCTGCCTGAAACTGACCAGACCCTAATCAGTTTCACACAAAAGGCTTTTATTTGCCTCCTAAGCAGCTGGCAGGAGGCTAGGCAAACAGCAGGCACTAGCACATTCCTTTTGATGTGTATTCACTGTTGTGTGCCTGCTTACTCTCTTGTAATCCCTTCTTCAATGAATGCAAATAGAAACATCAATTCACTTCTTGCTAATTATCCCAATGCCAGGGTAAGCACTGCAAAGGGCATGGGAGCGGGAAAACAGGGCTGTAAGATTTGCCCTTTTACCTGGCTTCCTCGTGAGTCAAATTCCAAAAACCTTCCCCACCGTTTTGGCTCACCTGGCTGTTTGGGGCTGTATCCTTTGGCCACTGTAAAGCAAAGGAAAGCTGAAGTAAAATCGTACTCACAGTCACATCATTTTTTACTTAGCGACCACTTTGCTTAACAACCGAGTTGCCAGTCCCAGTTGCAGTTTCTAAACAAGGACTACCTGTAGTTTCAATCTGAGTTGCACTTCCATGTGAAGATTCAGTAATGTTGGAGTAGACCCTTTGAAATTGGTAGGATTTTAAGTGAATCTCATTTAAGTATGGGTCTGAACTCAGCCCATTAGCTGGTATTAACGTTTCCCTCCAGGCTGTGAAAACAACTCATCTGCTAATTTCTGATCAACCTGCAGCACTGTAAAAAGCACAACAGTGGATCAACATAACTTTTTTTTTCTGATGAGCTGGCAATCTTAAACACCTTTAACATCCATAAGTGTGGTAGGTTCAGATACTGCACATTTAGTTTGGATTTAGTCCATCATGTGAATCTGTCCAGAAATAGTTTATTCAACAAACCATAACTGAACTGTGGCTAAGCACACAATATGTGGACCATGTCCCTGAATATGTCGGCAAGATGGAATGTGGGAATCTTTATGTAAGTCTTCTTTGCTCCCAGTTCTCATTGGTTTATCCAGAGATGGTCTAATCCTGATACCACTAGTGTCCATTTTAAACTTCCCATAAAATTTGGTTACTTCAGGCATTATGGAAAATTTAAAGTAGTGGGTTATAATCCTTAACCAGTTGCCCACAGCAAGTGACCAAGGCAAGTGTTGGTGACTGCTCTCTTTTGAGGAGTTTGGAGCCCTTACAGCTTCTCAAGCTTGTTTAATGTTGATTACTTCCAGATGAATTGCCAAACCATAGTTTGCTGAGGAAGCCACAGTTGGCTGGATTCACACACTGTGCTAAACACAATCCATTACTGTAATTTAAAACAAAACTGTCAAAATTATTCTAGAACTTCCAGAGTTATTTTCTTTTTGTAGAAGCAATACTGTGGATAGTGGGGATGGGGGTCAAATTCTTCTCTATCGTGGTTCTACCATGACCTCCATTCACCCTTGGGCACACGCATAGAAGCTCTGCTTTTAGAAAAAGTAACTACATTGGGCCTCCAGACATAAAGCTCCAGTGGAAGGAATAATGTTGCTTGCAGATTAAATTATTTCTGTAGATCAGTGTTTCTCAACCTTGGCAACTTTAAGATACGTGGACTTCATGGCTGGGGAATTCTGGGAGTTGAAGTCCACGTAAAGTTGCCAAGATTGAGAAACACTGCTGGAGATGAAAGCTGAAACAGGATACTAATTAGAAACTGGAAAACATGCTTCATTGTGCATTTCTGGAACCAAATGTCAGCCATTTTGATTGGGATCTTTGTAGTGCTGTGACAAAGGAAGAGGTGAAATTTCCTTTCCGTAATGGCCCCTGCATGCTGATGACTCTAAATAAGAATCTAGATGAAAATTTTGCATTAAATGATTTAAATGGAGACTATCTGGGTGCAGGGGCCAGGAGATACTTATCTATGCACCATGAAAGTATAATTGCATACTAGGGCTGTGCAAATACTTCAAAAGAGGATATAATATTGTTTTGTTCTGGTTGAAAGTGGTCAAGAGTGACTGGTACAATTCACCAGAACTTTGAAAGCTACCTTTCCCATATTTACCTGGAGATATTAAGAACAGAGTCTCAAATGTTTTGCATGCAGTGTATGTCCTCTGCAACTGCACTACAGACTTTTCTGGGCATTTTGGCTTCTGAGATTTAAGTGGATATTCTTCATACTCTTTCAAGGGTTCTTTCTACCTTTAGCACTAAGAACATCAGATCTTAAAAACTGGGTGTAAAGTTTGACGGTAATATCGTAAATATATTCTTCCAGTTAAGACCAATTCTATTTGTGTGAAGGCGAATATTTCCGTATTGGGTGTAATGATTATGGGTCACTCATAAAGTTGTTGTTATAAAAAAAGAAGCCAATTTTCACTTTTATTATGTGGATGGTTTGCTGCCTAGTTGCTGATTTAATGCATTTGTTTAGTCGTTCCAAGGCTGTAATCTTCTATAGATGGCTTGTAAAACGGTACATCACTTTGCTGTGAAGGCCTCACAAGGAGATGGGGCCAGGACAAAAATAAAACCTGACTTAATTTTAATTAAATATGGTCATTTAATAAAGTTAGCCCTGATTTGTGTAATAATTTCCCCTTTATTCACTTGATCACTTTATCTTCATATTCATCCAGATAACATTGATATCTGAAACAACTTCATGTATTTCCTTCTGCCTCTCGTTATGGTGTTCTAGTTGAGAACAACATCTTTTTGTATTCCATTTCTCCATCTTGTAGGACATTGACCAAGTTGGCATATGTAATTTAATTCAGGGGCAAATTTTGGAAGCCATAATTAAAGGTTGTTGGAAAAAATCTAAAAAAAAAATCTAAAACCATGATCTAAAAACTATGAGTTTCTGTCCTAAAGAAGTTTTAAAATCATTTCAAAGTCAACCAGTTAAAACCAGTATAATCTAAAATTTGCACACAAGCAGTCAACAGATTAACTAGTTGACAGATAAGCTCTCTTTTTAGCTTTTATGAAGATTTGTTGGCTCATGGAGTCCTGAAGCCATTGACTACCCCGATAGAAGGAATGATGGTGAAGGAAGGAGCAGAGAACTTTGTAACACCCCAAGGAATTTCATCCATTGTTAAACACTACTTAAATAAGGCAGGTAAGTTTCAGGTATATCGTTGATTTTTCTGTTTTTAAATAATAAAATTCACTGAAAATGCTTGGAGGCATCTGCTGGGGACAGGGTTAAAAAGTCAAGGTGAGAGTTGTGACTGCGTGATCAAAGCCCCAAAACTTTTTTTACATGTGTCACATGTAAGATACGTATTAAAAAAAGAGGTGGAGTTTTGATCACAGTTACAACCTCCATCTTGGCACTTATGGATCCCACCAATCCTGCAGATGCCTGTGCATGGGTGTGGGTGATTCCAGGTATCCAGCACTTAAAAAGTGAAACTTCAGATTCACCCTCATGTTTATAGGAATGAAGAAATGTGTCGATACAATCAATTTTTATAATTTTCTAGTATAATTGTTTCAGCCCCCAGATTTTGTCCTTTCTCTCCTGCATCACTGATTTTATTTATCTATTTATTTAACTTAAATATATTAGCTGCCTAACTCCAATGGATTGTAGCATCTGTTAGTTTCTCTCTTTCTTTCTCAGCAGATGTAGATGTCTTCTACAATCACCATGTTACTCAGATCTGCCTCAAAGATGGAAAATGGGAAGTGGGCATCAGTACAGGTTCTTCCCACCACTTTGACATAGTTATTCTCACAATACCCGTCCCACAGATTCTTCACCTTCAAGGGGATATTGCAAACAGTGAGTTTCCATGCTCAGTTTTTTGTTTTATTTGGTTCATTTCTAGCTTGCTCACAAAGACTTTATTTTCATATAACCCTCAGAGATAGTTGGGGCTGAGAGGTGGTTCCCTGTTACTCTGAGCATCATGGCCAAATGAAAATTTGAACCATGGTCTTCTCCAGTCTAATCCAGGGTTCTAAGCACAGTATCACCTTGCGTCTCCATCAATTCAGGCTGGAATCATGAAGGTCTCAATGTTCCCTTTTTATGATTCGTTTAATATGCAGGCTTTTTTTTTTATCACTTTGTACTGTGCTATATCTGACTCATCAAAAATGTGAGAATATTTGTAGTCTGAAGCTGTAATGTAGTGTGCCATTTGTGTAACATAAAACTCTTACCTGGAGGCCTGGTGAGCGTTTAATTGTTTCATAATATTCTGAGGATGTTTGTTTTATGATGAAATAAGCCTTACTTGTTTCATACTGAAAGTAGAAAAACAAGAGGATCCTTAACAAATGAAGTGAAATGTGGAAGCTTTTGCATACGTCTTACTTTCTTCCACTGTCTTGAGAGGTGCTAGTATTGCAGCTGAAAGATCTCAGAATAGCAACCGCCAATTGTAATTTTGGGGCAATATCTGTAGTTACATTTAACACCCTTAAATGGCATGACAGATATTTGAAGGAAATGCTGCCATTAGAATTTGCAGCCATCACTAGAGGCCTTCTACTCTGTTTGTTCTCTCCCCAACATAGTTATTGTGACAAAAAAGAGGGCTTTTTTGTTTGAGGCACTGCATCTCTGGAATATATTTTCCAGGAAAATACATCAGATTTTATGTCATTTCAGTACCAGACAAACATTCTTTTTATCCCATTCCATGTGCTGGTTTCAATTACAATTATATCTGTTCTGGTGAACGCTTTTGTTTTAGTCCTATTTTTGCTATTTCACTCATTTGGAATTGTATTATTATTATAAGCTATCCTATGAGCTTTTATTGAAGGGTATTCTAGAAGTACTTTATATAAATCAATTCTTAAATGTATTAGAGGCACTTTATCTCTGTCCTGACATTTTACATGCCAAAATGTCCAGACAGGGACTAGATTTTTTTTTTTCCAACAAAGACGATTGGAATCCTTTGTCATACCTGAAGACAGCCGAATAATTTGGAAGATGACAGGGAACTATTACTATCAAGACACAGGTAGATTATCTCAGATACCACAGAGGAAGAGGGAGAGAAGGCAGGCAGTAAATACAGAACTGATCTTTTGGAAGCAGTAAAAATGTAAACTTGTATTGCTTCTCTTTAGCATCCGTACCTTTGCTTTATAATAAGGTTTACAGTCTACCCTGGCATTGGGTGAGGCTGGAGCCCAGTGATTGTGATTTTTTTATTTTTTATTTTTGTTGCTTTAGGGTGCTTTGGGTTGGGCTTTTTGGATTTTTTTTTTTCTGTTTCTTTATGTTTAGTGCTGTTGCTGGGAGCTGCCCAGAATTATAACACATAAGATGGGTGGCCATGTAAGTCTCATGAATGAATGAATGATATTATTTATGTCATGATCTTGGCTAACCAGCTAGATCATAGAGCTATCCAATGTTTTATAGCGTATATTCATCACAAGGCATTATTCATTGCTTCCATTCTGTGCAGCTGAAATCCTGTAGGTTCTTAAAACCAACTTGTGAACACTTGTCCTAGACAGGCAAATAGAAAGACAGATACTTGTGGTGCTGTAATACTTTAGGGGCAATAGGAGAATGCTGTGTTTTGCTTCTGCACATTCTGATGAAGTGCTACCTGTCAGGCCTAGCCCAAGGAACTCCAAGAGACAATGCAAAATCAGTTCAGCTATGTTTATTAGCTACACCCTCTAGAAAGAATCTCCCCAGACTGAACCCCATCTCCCAGGTCAGCCAGCCACAACAGTGTGAATTCCTCAGGGAGGTGCCAGTCTCATCCTCTTGTAGTTCCCACGCTCCATCGGCGAGCTAAGAAAATGCTTATCTCCCTGAGCCTGGCCTTCATAATTCCATTCCATCACGTACCTCTGCTATCTACATCTTGGCGTTTGCATCTCAAGCAGATGTTGTATGTATTTAGAAATGAATTAAGAAGAAATAAATAAGACACATGCCCAAGTAAGAGTGTTTTTGAGGAAAGAGATTTCAACATGCTTACAAAGGTATGCCCTACCTTTGCTTTCTGAGTCTGTTTTCTAGGCTTTGCAGAAAAAGAAATGATCGTGTTGTAACTAGAAATGCTATAGTTATTTCTGTGATTATATGTGTCCCTTGCATTTTGGCTTCAGTGTTTCTTTATTATTCAACTAATTTTATTTTTCATTGTAAATGTTGGGTGAATGGTGTTTCTCTTGTATATGTCTGCAGTTGATGGTGTGTTTGCCAAAGGAACAAATAAATAAGGTAAGCTTTTCATGCAGGATTGGTTAGGATGGACCCTGATATTTGGGAATATTTTCCCCTGATTGCAGCAAGCTAATCCAGTGAATCTAATCCTGCAGCCCATGCATTTTCAGAATGATAATGCTCAATATTATTTTTTCTTGATGTTTCTCTGTAGAATTTTCATTTGCCCAAACCGCGTGTGTTGAATTCTGATGTGAACTTATTCTCAAACTACTCCATCTCCCGTTTCTTTGGATTGTATTTCTCCTGCGTGAAAAGCGTTTGGCATTGGAAGGGTTAGCACTTTGTAAGCCTGGAAGCAGTTTATATGTTGCACTGGAAGCAATCTTCTAGCAGATGAGGCAATGCTGTACCTTAGCTGCAGTACTTAAATGAGGCAGTGGATGGCAATCTGCTAATGATCTTTGAAAGGGCTCGGCTGCGTAAGCTACCTTCAGGATGCAGTGTATGAATACCAGCAATTGCTGAAGCAGATTTTTGATTTCTCACTTATGGTTTGCTGTACTTTAAAAACTTAGGAGAGGAAAAATAAATGTTCTGCGGATGTTGAAAGGTTGATTTAATTTTTGAGAAAGCAATTATTAGAATAGGAATATTCGAATGCATGCACACTAAAAAAGATGAGAACCTGGTTTCCCATCACATTTTGTGCTCTGTGAAGGATATCCGCATCTGCTCTTGGAGGCTATTGGCTAAGGTTGTGAACTTTGAAAAGCCTTCTGGTTTGAAGTGAGATTGGGTGATTTATGAAAATTCTGTCTGGGCTGTTCAGGTATGTAACTCACATTCACCAGCAGGTCACGTGACATATTTTGTGGATATAAAATATGTATAATCTGGCTGTAAGAGTTCTTACAGATCTGCTGAAAGATTTCAAAGAAGAGAGATTCCTTTCCCTCTAATCCCTGAAATCTCTCATCTCTGAAATGGAGTGATTGTGTGTACTAGTAGAACAATGGCAAACATGTCATTTTCCTAATGTTAGAGAAGCTGGGGAAGGGAATGTAATTTGCCTTCTCTATGTGGGCTCTTAATGTTATATTCACAGCCTTTCTAGCTCTCTTCGTTGAGCTTCACTTTGCTTACATTTCCACATCATGCCAAACCAGGACTTTTTAATCATGGTGACTTAAATAAGCTATGGTGGCCTGGTCTGTATATAACACTGAGTTACAGAGGAAGAGTTCACAGTCACTCGTGAACAGGGAGCCTTATAAATTCATCATCGTCATTGGTTTGTGAATGGAACTCAAATTTCTACAGAACAGTAGTCAAAGATGTGATTCTTTTTGTTGGTTCTGATACTGTGTTATCCTTTGAATACTATGACAATAATACACTGCTGCCTCCATTTTTACTCCCCCAGCATGTCTATGCTAAGATGCATTTTTCCAACTTCATAAAAGCTATACTCCTTTTTTTTTTTTCTTGGAAACTGTCTTCAGAACAGTTACTTGTGTGCTTCAGTTGAGCCATCAGTAAATTGTTTCAGCTGCCTGGGGATAGATCACAGGGATCCAGAGTCAGTTGGGAAGCAGAAGTCTTGTGGAGAGGCCATAAACCAAAATGAGTTTATGATGTAGTGTGGTGAGTGAATCCCGTCTTTCAGAGAACTTTTTCCTCATCCTCATTTTGATTATTTGGAAGCCACGGCAGGTAGCAGAATCTTAACAACCTTGGCTGATCTCAGAAAAGTTGAGTAGGGCTGGAAGAGTGTATTACATAGATGAGACTACCAGGAAGTCCCAGGATTGTAGGCTAGGCTGGGAAATTGAAAAAGATGCACCAGGAGAAGGCAGTCCAAACAACTTCCATGTTGTTGGTGAGAAAACTGAATGTCCATTCCATGGAATCCCTTGGAGTCCAACTCAAATTGAAGACGGATTTATGTTTATAGTGGTGGGAGTTCTTAATATTTTCAATGACTCACTTCATCTCCTTTTTTCCTATTAAATGCCACTTTTCCATAATTTAGGTCTTTCTTTCCCCCTTTGTCTGGACACTTGAACAAAAAAACTGTATTTGTACCTTCCAACATTCATCATAAGAATTCATTTTGAAAAATTTGGCAAACATACCTCCTCCTTTTTTGAAGACTGCATTGGGACTAGAGAATTTGCAATGAGGGAGCAGAATCTGAGGTTTGTCTTTGCTTGCATCTACCAGGATTTACTTGCTTTGTGTTAATGAACTGTTAAAAAGTGTGATTATTCTTATTTGTTGTCAAATGCCTCCCGGGACAATTTCCTCACAGCTTTGTTCGATACTGTAACACAATGCAATCGTTTTGTCGCACAAGCATTACTTGTAGGATCTTCCGTCAGTTGTCTTTCATTCCCATTGAATGCATGGCTTGAGATAAAGTAGAATAGTCAGACTGTCTTCTTATTGAGTGAAAGGGCAGATGTTGAGATTGGATAACAGCAGAAATAAGCCATGAAATTCTATTTTGTCATTGAGTCTTAAATTTACCAGAATCCCACATGTAATAATGCTTTATGATGGATTGGACAAAAATGATTCCTGCATGTATATACAGTAACTCTTCGTTGGCCATTTGGGCACTGACATTCCCA